GCTTTCCAGTGCTTGCCCTTTGAAGCTCTTCTTCCATTTCATATATACATGCCTTGCACAATTTCTGTGCTCAACATGTGGGGCTAAATCCCTCAATGCATTCAGAAGACCCTGAAAAAGTACAACAACAATTGAAAAAGAAAATTAGATTTAGATATGCACAAGTTAAAAAATTATATTGAAGGATTTCAGTTTTGAACAAACTCAGATATATTATGACCTAATTTACAAATTCAGAAACTCAGCTATATGGCCTAATTCAGAAATTCAGAAACTCAGCTTTATGACCTAATTCAGAAATTCAGAAACTCAGCTATATAAGCTAATTCACAAATTCAGAAACTCAGATATACTATGACCTAATTCACAAATTCATAAACTCGGCTATATTACCTAATTCACAATATCAGAAACTCAGCATATTACTTAATTCACCAATTCAGAATATCAGGTATACATATATGACCAAAATCAGAAATACAAATATGTGAATAAATTTAGCAAACAAATTCAGAAAATAGAATATGTGAGGAAATACAAAAAGTCAGAGAATCAGATATGATGCATGCCTCTAGAAGTTTAGAAATTAAAATTCATACATGTCAGAGAGAAATTCAGAAATGCATATCCAAGACCATATCACATATGAACATCTTCAGAAATTTAGAAATTCAGCCATGTTAGAGAGAACACTTACCTTTTGTTGGTCTGACATAAATGTATATCCAAGCCCATCATTAATGCCAAGATCAGTGAACAAAATAGATAAAAACCACCTCCAGCACTCCTCAATCTCTGTTTCAACAACTGCCCAAGCAACTCGGTATATCTGATTGTTGCCATCTTTTGATGTGGCACACAATAGAGCCCCCCCCTAAGAAAGTCTTTAAAGAACACCCATCAAATCCTAAAATGGGTCTACAACCCCTAAGAAAACCCTTTCTCAGTGCACTGAATCCGATATAGAAAGCTCTGAATGTTGTTTCTTCACCAAGAAGAAACTCAAATCTTTCATCTCTGTCCACCCTCAACAGCTCTGCCATGTAACTCCTCAGAGAAGCATAATGCTCTGCTACTGAACCTCTAAGAATCTCAAGAGCTCTTCATTTTCCCCTGTATAACTTCCATTTTGTTGGTTGTAATGCATACTTCTCAGAAATCACTTCTTCCATCTGAGATATGGTCATGTTTGGATTCTTTCTCAACTTTTCAAGTAATTCCTCAGCAATCCATTCTGATGTCACCTGCCTGGTGTGCACATTTCTATGGCATTTGTGCTCCTTGTTCAATTGTTTGATTACTACACTGCCCTCACTCATAACTGTACTAGCATACATGCTCTAAGGGCTACCATCAACACATCTGACCCTTAACTGTTTTTTGCTAGTTTTAGTAAACTTTATGTCCGTCCCTTGGAAAATTGCAACATTCCTGACAGCTCTTTTCAATTCCTCAGTGCTTATAAATCTCATCCCTAGCATAAATTCAAGAGTGTAGGATCACACTTAGGGTCATAAGTAATCCTTCTCTTTCTACCTATTAAGTTCCCCTCCTCATCTATTTCCCATTCACTCTGAGATAGCAATGCAGAGTGTAAGTAGCCAGAATCTTCATTGTCCATCTCAATGGTCTTGCTTGAAGAAATGTTATCTGCACAATCTCCATCTTCTAATATCCTCTTTTTATGGTTCTTCAAATTCTGCCTTGCCTCGAGATATTCATCATCATCAGAAGCAAAGTCATCATCAGAAAGTTCATCATCAGATGAACTTTCTCCCAAGGGAAAATAATCTGCATCATCACTATCATCCCCAGAGCTTTGAACTTCACACTCACCCACATTTGAATTAGGCAAGTGTGAATTTTTCCCCACTTCTACATGAACATCACAATCTTTTTGCTCCTCAACTCCTAAATCCACACCATTATGTTCCTCTGGCAAACTGAAGGATTCTATATATGTATCTATATCAAAAGGTTCCTCTGACATACCCTCACTTTCCACAGTTGCATTATTCTTTTCTTCCTGGGCTTCTCCTTCATTATGTGCTTCTCCTGCAATCTTCTTCTCATTTTGTGCTTCTCCTGCAATCTTCTTCTCTTTTTGTGCTTCTCCTGCAATCTTCTTCTCTTTCTGTGCTTCTCCTGCAATCTTCTACTCTTTCTGTGCTTCTCCTGCATTCTTTTTCCCATTAACTTCTTCCCCAACCACATAAATCTCTACCAATGATCTTTTCTGACCACTCTGTCTGATCATCTCCATAACAACACTATCATCTACTACATCTTTAAATCAGTCTTTTCCAGTCTTCCTTGGAATCCTGTATAAAATTTTCTCAAACTTACCAACACCCAGCTTCTCAACTTCTTCTTTTAAGTCAAAATACCCAAATCTATCTGGATTTAAACCATGGACGTTCTTGAAACTACCACCTATGTAGTCAACCACATTTTCGCAACTGACGAAGTATCCTCCATAGTCGATAAAAATGAAAAATTTGCCACTACAACGAAAATTAAATACATAAATATCCATAAAAATCTAAAAATTTCTCACTGCAAAACATATCATTGTTTAGTAAATTGACATATAAATATTCCAGAAAACCCTCATTTTCTAAATAAACCCTAATTTTTCTAAAAATGTCTAATTTCCCCAAAAGAACCCTAATTTTACTCACAAATTCTAAAATCTGAGACAAATTCTAACTGAGTTCAAGCAGACAAATAAAAAATATACCATGCTTAGAAAATTGATAAACTAATTTCCCAGAAAATCGTCATTTCCCCAAAAACCCTAATTTCTCGAAACATCCAAAATTTCTCAAAAGAACCGAATTTTACCTCAGGAATTCTAAATTCGAGGCAGATTTACATTTCTAAACGAACCCTATATACATTTATTCTTTAATTCACTTGTTTTAGGAATAAAAATGCATAAAATCTAAAAACCTGTCTTTCATTTCTCTGTCGAATGAAACTCTCGAACGCAGGAACTCAAACTCTCATGAAAATGAGACGACCACGCCCCAAAATCTTGGTGCAGAGATAATATTTCATACGTAGGTTTGATTTTTTTTGAGGGGAAAGTGCAGAGAGATTTTTAGGGATTCAAATTGGGGATCAATTTAGGGATTGAAAATTTTAGGTCTTGGGAGTGACGGGGACCCATTTTTATACCATGTCACGCAGAAATGAGAATTTTCCACATATTTAACTTATATCCACGCAGCAAATGGGTAATTCCACGTCGACTTAAGCTGTCGGACACGCTGGCATATTTTGAAGCTCCGACCGGTCTAAAGTTCATTTTGCAATAAGTAAACATATGTCAGTATTATATTGCATTTATCCAAAGTTTGGGATAAAATCGCCAAACGCAAAAAGGTTGAGGTTTTTAAAGCAATTAACCCTTCTTTTAAGACATTTTTGTTTGTAAATAGTCATTATACATTTTCTATTTAATTTGATTTCCAAATATTTGTGTTTGTAAGGTTTTACGTGGATATAGAATCCATGCCTCAATTAAAAAAATTCACCTAGTTTTGTTCAATCGTTTTGAAGTCATTGGTATCCACACTTTATAATTGTAGCACCGAGCGGCATATATAAAACTACTATGGCAAGATTCAAGATAAATTTTATGGTGAACTTCAAGATGAAAATTTCCCGAACTTCTAAAGTTTTACCGATTTGGTAAAGACTCTTTTTGTAAGGACTCATTATTCATCGGTAATTATATCATATGCATATAAAATGATGTATATTTACGTTATTGAGAATTAATTTATATACATGTTATACTTGAAGAACTTCATATTTATTGCATGAATTGGTAATTATATCTTATTCATATAAAAAATAAAATATATATTTTATTTATTGAAGATTAATTTATATGAATGTTATACCTGAAGAACCCTGTAATTACACATGACCAACTTTATGTCGCTGTTTCACGAGTTAGAAATGGGAAATGATTGAAAATATTAAAATATGAGATGATAAAAGTACCCCAAAGACGAAGAATGTTGTATATAATGAAGTGTTCAATATATATCATCGTTATGCATATCATACAAATGCTCTTTTAATATTTTTTTCGTAGCTCCCGTGCATTTGCACGGGCAACTGTACTAGTGTGTTTTTTAAAACTAGATGTAGTAAATATAATTGTAAATCGAATTAACCTGAATAATTAAAATAATTTATTAATCATTATTACAAAACCATATTTATTAATACAAAACTATATTTTTATGTATTAAAATTTTACATATTAAAATTTGTACACTTTATTTTTCATTAATATGCATTTATGAAAATATTGCTACAAAATATATATTTGATCATAAACAAGTTAAAAAAAAATATTCTAAATTAATAATACTACAAGATTGTCCCACAACACTATCTATTTTTTTTTAAGTCAATAAAACTCTAAATCTCTAATTTGAATTTATTATTGAAATAATGGAAATAATTTATTATTTATATAAACAATATATTTAATATCTTTTGGTTGAAAAAAATATATTATATATGTTATTATGTTTATTTAACATTATATATATATATACTATATATATATATATGTATATACTGCCTTGGTAGTTTATTTCGTCTTCACGATGCCACATTACAAATTTTGACAAACAAAATCTAACTCAAGTATTTTGCATTTGTGTGTTTAACTAAATTTTACTGCTAATTCTTCATTTCTTTTAGTAAGGTTGTTGTTAGACAAGCCTAACGATATTTTTCAATAGATATGCATACTTTCAAAGTACTTTAAAAAACAATATGAATAAAAGTACGTCACTAGCATATTCGATTTTACATGACGGATCGACCTTCACCAAAAATTACGCTGCCTAACACAAGAATTTCATTTTATTTATTTATTTTTCTCTTACCTAAACTCAAAAAGCGAGGTTTTCCAAGCTTTACAAAATATTTACAAGGGACTTCCTCGTGCACTCACATATTTTGGCGCACTCTCACAATTTGAATTCAAGTATTTTTTCCAATTTCTGTGGCTGGTATGGAATGGCACTAACAAGTTTTACACCTTCAGCCCTGGGGATTTCATATTTACCAGGGACTTTCTCGTGCCACACGAACTCGTTCTCGTGCTCGTATTTCCTCAGGACGACGCTCAACTCGTTCACGACCTGTTTGTGTAACGATCTCCAAGACTCGTCCTTTATCGCAACTTTCTTCTCATTTGAAATTTCCCGCTGAAGAATTCCGATCGCTAAACCAAACTTACCTTCGTTTTTTAGATTCTCCGCAATGTGCTTGTAGCTCTTTAACTTGTGCAGACTCTTGCAAGTCATCATGTAATCCTTCATTGATATCAACGTAATTGAGCAACATAGTTATCATTAAAAGATGCCTTTCTAAATGAAGTCCAAAACTGAAGATCGAAAATGCTTTTAGATACGACTAGATGTGGATTATTCTCGATTTTGATACAATTAAGCAGTTTCACGAAGTGTACTCGAAAAGTTGTTAATTTCGTACCATAAGGCGAGACGAAATATCTTTGCAATCTTTGGTTGTGGCTTGCAACAATTTGATAGCCTCGGACAAAAACTCCGTAATGCCATAGTGCAACTTCGCTAAAAGCTTGCCCGAATTCCCATTTTCTTCCGACTTCCTCGTTGTCACGGCCTTAAACAATTAACATAAAGAACCAAAAAGAAAAAAAAAAAGGGGGTCAGAATGAAGAACAAGAGAACTTGAAGGCACTTGAAGTTTACACTAATAAAAATCGTAACACATAATGTAAACAAACCTGAGCATCTGCTAAGCATATGAGGCTCATGATAGAAGATATGTTAGGCATAGCTTCCGGAATCCTATCTTCCGCCCGAGTTACAAAAATATGAACTTCTTTTGCTATATAATCGTAAACGCCGGCTGCCGTTCTGAAGAGCGTGGCCGATTGGACAAGATCAAGATCTAAAACGGCAAAACAGAGAAAATTAATAAAAGGAAATTCAAATTAGACATCTGAAAAAATTCGAGTTGTGTTCATATCTTGCCCGATGACAGTACTTCGAAGGCCCGCTCGCGAAGCACTGCACCATAGAGGAACAGAGACATCCCGAGCTCGAAATTGATGTCGTTGACTTGATGGAATTTGGAGCCTTTGATGTGAAAGATTGACGATGAAGTAAGCACGCTGGTCCACCGTATTTTGAGGCTCGAAATCCAGCTAACCATCTTTTGATTGTCGAATTTCGCGTTAATGTTGTGTACCAGGTTCTCCAACAGAGGCAGGTAGTTTGCCAGTTTTTGAATGTCCTGAGAAATAATAATAATAACTCACACAAAATTGTTAACATTTGTGAAT